TTGCTATTTGAGTTTCGATGTTTAGTGATGTTGGTGTTTTGATTGACATCAATGTCACGTCTCAAACTAGCATGTTGATTTGTGATTATGTGCTTTATTTGTTATATTTCCTGTATTACGTGTTTTTACAATGTAGGTATATGAGTTTTTGAATTTCATGAAATAGGTACAACATGGAATGCAAGACTCAAAATTTAGGTATACTAGGTAGAATAGCTTTTTTATTTTCACGTCCTGACTTCATTTGTATAGTTTTGTCATGGATTACTAAAGGGGAGTTTGTTTGGTTTTATATTGTAATTGGCGATCCCGTGAACAAAAGGAACTTAATTGAACATTGTTGTAAAAGTCAAGGACTTGGGTTGCAATTTATATAGATGGTTTATGTTAGGGTTTAAGTTTGGAATAAGGTAAAAGACTCTTCAAATTTTTGCTATTTGCTCGCCAAGTTGTTGCTCGAGCGTTAGAAACAAAACCATCATCGCTCGCTTGTCATCCCTACGTCTCTCGAGCGACAAAGCCGTCGCTCGCTTTTCGCTAAAGTGTTGCTCGAGCAACAGTGACACACGGCTAAACCATAGGTTATGATTTGAAGAATTTTGCATGGCTCATAACACCTATTTGCCCCAAACTATAAATACTAGAGTCATGGACGGAATTCAGGGGGGTTGCTCATTGTGCTTTACAACATAAATTCATTCATATCATCTTTGGGATCCAAAAGCATAATTTATCGATGGAATCATACACATTGATCTTATGACCGGCAACCAAAGTTTTGGAAAACATTAAAGGTTCTATAAGCTAAAACACCATACTTCTTTAATCTTTTGAGGAAGGGACTCTCTTATTGTGGAATTGAGAGAGGTGGACTAAGGCGCAATGAAAAGCATTAGAACATGTTGTTCTTGGTGTTCCAGTAGGCAGAGACATTCAGGATTCTGCATGTGCATTTCATATGTGTCCTAATAAAGACTTGTTTACTACATATGAAACAGTTTCCAAATGTGTCATAATTATGGAAAACAACACACATTTTTGGGTTGCTGGAATTGGTAAGATCAGATTGAAGCTAATGGATCAGACAATTATAATACTTGGCTAGGTTTGACATGTTTCAAATTTGAAAAAGAATCTCATCTCATAGACTATCCTTGATTCAAAGGGTTATGAGTTCTTTGGTGAAGGTGGAGCATTGAAAGTTTGCAAGGGTGCGTAGATTTTATTGAAGGGAATAAAAAGGTTTCAATTATACATTTCGAGATTCAAATTATAGTTGAAAATTTGTAAATTAAAACTTCAAAAAATCAATTTCGTTAAAGTGTTTAATATTTGTAAAAGTCTTTCTCTTTTTCGCTCTTGGGACTAGCTACATGATATATGTAGATGGAATTAAAAATGCAAATTTTTCGAAAGATATCAAATGGTTAAAATTTAATTATAGAGATAAATACAATGTTACACTCTTTATATAGGTTTGAATTCAACTACATTACGTATACATTGAAACTCGTGGAAGTTTTTACCCCAAGTAAAATGAGCTCTTCTAGTTATAATTGATAACTTCATTTACTAAGTTTCATTGATTATAATAGCTCGTCTTACCTTAGGATAAGTACAATCATTTCGAGGAATAGATGAATGTGAATAGATGATAAGTGAAAAATCTTTATTTGTAGACAAAAAATGGAAAAGGAAAAGAAATTGAAATTCAATCAAATTTCAATTAATGTGATGACACCAGCCATCATGCTGCAAAAGGCAGCTACGAGCTAGCTTGTCATGGTACGCGAGCTAGTCTGCGCACTAGAATCGATTCACGACTCACCTAGAAGGCAAATCAAGTCGGTCAACCGACGAGTAACTTGTTCAATTGACATCTCTATCTTGACTTGATATATTGTGATTATGATTTGTAAGATCGTTGTCTTTTTCACGCAAGTCAGTTCAATTAAACTATTAGAATTATGATAACTTTGAAAGTTTAAGTAAGGAACAGAGCCAAATAGAGATTCTTTTTGAAATGACCACTACAAAAAAAGGCTTTATAAATCGATTTTCCGTTGTTGAAGTCACGATATCCCTAGCTAATAGGTATCACAGACGACAAATGATTCATTGCAAATTCGTTGCTACTTTAAGGGTCAATTATAGTTACTGATGGATTATCCGTACCTTTTATCTACAAAATTTCCTAGGTACAAATTTTATCATTATCAACGAAAAATTGGTAGTTGAAAGTCTTATTACTTTTACCAACGGATAATCCATTTCTGATTATTAACAGATGCAATCCCCTGATAATTATTCGTCGATAAGAAGCTATTTTTTAGGTAGTGAGATCATGTCTACCCTAATCATTAGAGATTATAAATAGCATTACTCTTTAAAGAAACACAAGAATTCGAGATTAGTAAAAAGTCCAAATATTGGACAACAATAAATGATGCAAATCATGTTCCATACTAAGTTATGCAAATGGTCTATGTCCCCAGCACTGAATCACCATCATACAACAAAGGAAAACAACACGTAGTGGTCTGTAGTGAATGCAATTAAAAAATGAACAAATAATTTCTAATTAACTAATTAATGGATGGTTAGTTGGAGACATAGCGTGTTTTGCTCTTGCGTCAGGCATAATCATCAAGAAGGAGAAAATGTTTTACTGAGACAGCCATCATATATGCAAACGTGGTAAGACTTTCAATTCAAACAGCAACACTTTGGATCGCGAACCATTCCAAATGCTATATGATAAGTATGTTTTTACACACTTATTTGGTTCACAAACATGAATTAAAAATGGATAAAATGGTTGAATTGTGACTTAATCCTATTAAATTCATGCAATATAGGTATTTCAATGAAAATTGTGGAATTCAGGAGAAAAGAGCCGAAGAAGGACCAAAACGCAACAAAGTGATAGTTCGAGGACCAAAGGTGCAAATATTGAGAAGTTGAGCTAAATGCAAAACGAGAGTAAAAACATGCCAAGTATGAGCTCAATGACAAAGCAAGAAAGTTATGGCCAAAATACTGAAAACTATCTAGCGGGAAAACATTATAACTATGGGTCGCATAGTTTAAAATGTATGCAACGGCATGGTGATTTTCAGAGAATCACATGGCCAATTTTTGGAGAACTATGCGACCGTAAGGGATTGTACCTTGCGACCGCATAGTACAATCCTAATGCGAATTTTTTGATTTCCTTATTTCATTCTACCGTAAGGGATTGTACCTTTTTTTTAGCTTTCCAATGCACTTTGAATCATTTCAATCGGACATCGAAAAAGAAAGTTATGACCAAAATATTGAAAACCGTCTAGCAGGAAAACATTATAACTATGCGGTCGCATAGTTTAAAATGTATGCAACGGCATGGTGATTTTCAGGGAATCACACGGCCATTTTTTGGTGAACTATGTGACCGTAAGGGATTGTACCTTGTGGCCACATAGTACAATCCTGACGCGAATTTTCTGATTTCCTTATTTCGTCCAACCACTTATGGTAACAATTCAAGACACGGTTTTTAAGCCCTAATTCACCCCAGAATATCAGAGAACTCCCCAATATACTTTTCTCTCATTTTGGTACTCAAGAAACTTCATGAAGAACTAAAACCGAGGTGGAGCTAGGAAGGAACTCTTTGAATTTAGTGATTTCAGATCTATTATTTCATATATTTTGGTTTGTCATTGTTAAACAATTATAGTTTTTAGATTTTCTTTCTTATAAGTTTACATTGAAGTCGGTTTAAGATTTACAAGATTTTTCATGGATTTAATCATGCATTTTCCGTTGTTAAGTTAAACTGTTTGTTGAATTTCAATTTTAATTACTTATTGTTGAAAATGATTTAACTTCTACCAAATTCTTTAAAGATCTAGTCATGTTCTTTATTGGCAGATTTATTACTGCCTTATGCTTGATATATATAGTCAATCTTTGATCTTGTTCCAATAAAAATGTGCGAATGTATTATAAGTCTAGATTCTAGGATTATAATTGTGAATTAAATTGATCTTTATTGTTAAATCTTTCGATTAGAGAGTTGGGATGAAAATTCTCTAATTGAGTTATAAAAATGAATAATTGATGTGATTGACCCAATCCAATTGAGGAAATTTCAATGCTTTGCCATCTCAAAACATTAATCTTTATTTCATTACTTTAATATTAAATTCTCCTACACATTTCAAAAGGACAATTAGCCATTTTGGATTCTTGAGTGATTTTTTCATCTTCCCATGGAATCGACACTTCAAAGCTGTACTACAACTACCTTGTTATTCTTTGGGCATAATCAGGATACATGCATTAGTGCAATAACACATTCTGCTAAGATTAATGTTATATTTAGAGGATAAAATGACGACGAAAATCAATAGGGAGGTTTGTTGTAAGGTGGACTATAGTGAATTGTTTCATACTTCGCATTAGAAAACTGTATAATTATTGAAAATATAAAAAAAGTATTAAAAGAATATTTTACTGGTTTAATTATCATGTGTTGAGCTCTTTTATTTTACTGGTTCAATTACTATTATGTTAGCTTAATTTATTTCTAATGTTATCTTTACTCTGAGGATGATTTTAATCTTTTTTCTGCTAGGACAATTTAGCCCCCGTTTGGCCTCTATTCTTCTTCTTATTCTTTTCTCTCTCTTATTTTCAATGACACAATCTTCCAAAAAATAATATTAAACCCAAATAAAAAAAATTTCATTTTTTTTTCAACCACACATTTTTCAAAAAAACACTATTCCAACCATTAAAATTTGGAAAAAAATCGGTCCAAATGGGGGCTTAATTAATAACCAAAAGAGAGGCATTAATAAAGTAGAATGAAAGGAAATAAATTATAAATCATGTGATAATCTTTATCAAATCGAGAGAAAAAAATAAAAACAGATAAAAAAATCAGGCTCGGCCTGCCGGCCTGGTTAGTGTATTAGGCGATTGGCAGTTTATGGTTGCTCCATGCAAGCTACTTACTCCCTGGAAAAATTACGATTTATTTGGCCATCAAACATGGTTTCGATGAACCATGGATCTGTCCTCAAATTCTCGATCAGGGTTGGATCTGCAGTTTCTGCAATCTTTACAGGGACTTTAGCTTCAATGACTTCTACCGAGGGGACCGGAGGAGCCAGGCTCAAAATTGGCACATCTTGGTCATTAAATTCTTCTTTCCTCTTCTGGAGCTCTTTCACCTTTTCTTCTGCTATTGAGCACAAAACGTTCATTTGATTCAAGTCAAGTTCATAAATGCTTTTACCTTCAATAAGCCCGTTCGTCAAATTTTCGTACTCTCTTAGATCACTCCTCCTTCCAATATTTCTCAATTTTTGCGTCTCTTCTTCAACAATCTTTATCAAGTATTTGTCATGCTTAACAAATTTTCTCTCTCTTTCCATTTCTGGAAAGTCGAAAAATTTGGAAAGCCTTGCTCTAAAATCATCTGGAGATGGCCATAAGGTGAAGTTGTTTTGTCCTGGTTTATGAATAACTATACCTATATCAGAATCAGACAAGATAGAAAGCTCGCTTGCTTTCTTGAGTAAACCTTCTGTCCTATTTCTTAGGACACAGTTTCTTTTACTCTCGTTGGCTATTTTGACACGTTTAACCTTTTTTCTTGTCATGGTTATCGGTTAAAATCTAGACCTTGCGGTACTGTATTTTTGTTGTTTGGGAGGAACACACACACACGGATATATATATATATATATATATATATATATATATATATA